ATTTTGAAGAATATTTAATATAATTTTTTAATTTTAATTATACATAGCTGGTTCCATGGCAGCATTACACGTGATGAAGCGGAACATTTATTGCAACCCCGTGAAGATGGCCTATTTCTAGTGAGAGAATCAACCAACTTTCCCGGAGACTATACGTTGTGCGTGTGTTTTCAGGGTAAAGTTGAGCATTATCGCGTTAAATATTTGGAAAATAAATTAACTATTGACGATGAGGAATACTTTGAAAATTTGGGACAATTAGTAGCGGTAATTTCTCCCCTACAAAGCATAAATTATTTAACAATTTAATTTATTTTATTATGTTATTATTCTTTGTACTCTACAGCACTATGAAGCCGATGCAGATGGTTTGTGTACACAACTCATAAAATGTTTACCCAAACAGGGCAAACAGGAGTATTGCATTAATTCAAAAGATTTTATCGATAAAGGTTGGGTCATACCCGAATCCGATTTACAATTACGCGAAAGCATAGGCAAGGGTGAGTTTGGTGATGTTATGCTGGGTATATTGCGCAATGAGAAAGTGGCTGTTAAAATGCTTAAAGATGAGGGAGCGGTACAAAAATTCTTAGCAGAAGCTTCTGTTATGACGTGAGTTTTTTTTATAAAAATAGTTATCCAAGGAATATTTAACTAAAATTTTGTTTTATGTTTATTATTTCTATAAAAGTACGTTGGAGCATGAAAATCTGGTGAAATTTGTTGGTTTAGTTTTCACTAGTAAACATATTTATTTGGTAACTGAATATATGAGCAAAGGATCACTGGTTGATTATTTAAGATCGCGGGGACGACAACACATTACGAAAAAGGATCAAATTAATTTTGCTTAGTAAGTTTAAACAAGAAATTTTTTGATTTAGTTATTTTTATAAGAAATCTAAAGAATTTTGAAAATTTGACAATTGAATTTATTCTCTTTTCCAAAACAAACAGCGACACGGCCTCGGGCATGGAATATTTGGAAGCGAAAAAGGTGGTTCATCGTGATTTAGCTGCCCGTAATGTTCTTATATCCGAAGATTGTGTGGCCAAAGTTTCCGATTTCGGTTTGGCTCGCGAAGAATGTTACAATTTAGAAGTTGGCAAATTGCCCATTAAATGGACAGCACCGGAAGCTTTGAAAAATGGGGTATGTAAACAGTTAACGAACATATCTTTTTTATATCAAGTTTATTATGTGTATTTAATTGCTTTTTAGCGTTTTTCCAACAAATCGGATATGTGGAGTTTTGGCATACTTTTGTGGGAAATTTATTCGTTTGGTCGTGTTCCTTATCCTAGAATTGTAAGTCATTAAAGTTTTACTTAGTCTTGGTAGTCTTTTATAAAATGAAAAGTTTTGTTATCCTAAGACTTTCTTTTAAAAAGCTTTTTTGGCTTTGTGAAGTTGTTAAACAGTTTGAAATATTAAATTTCTTTTTCTTTCAAGCCTTTGGCAGATGTTGTTAAACATGTGGAAGTGGGCTATAAAATGGAGGCTCCCGAAGGTTGTCCTCCTGAAATCTATGAAATGATGAGACAAGCTTGGGATTTAAATCCTGCCAAAAGACCAACATTTGCCGAACTAAAAGTTAAATTATTACATTTAAAAAATAATACAGCGTGAAAACATGTGCAAAATAAAACAACAGCCACATAATGATAATAATAAATAAATGCTACATTAATGTTTACCTCCACATTAAAAACCCAACCTTACCCTTTCCTCTACATCCCTACACATACGGAAACCTCCCATGTCCATCTTAACAATAATACCAGCAGCTGTTAATCATCATGAAAAAAAACTTGAACTATTAACCTACTATAAATATATAAAGAAACAACAACATAAAAGAAACATAATTATAAATTAAATCAAGCAAAACACCATTTATCAATAAAAAATTTAATATAAATAAAGAAAATGTTTGCAATTGAAGTAAAAAGTAAATGTTTTTACAACAAAATTAAACAACAAGCTAAATATACATAAATACATACACATATATCAAATAATAATTATAATAACTCTTTATATATATCTAACTATTATAAACAACAGCAACAGCAACAACAACAATTAAACATAACTAATTATTAAGTTAATTACATAAAAAACCAACATCATGTATAAAAAAAACATAAAAAAACTCTTCTACTACTACCAACCACCCTTTAAAAGTTTAAACAACAACAAAAGTAAACATTTTGTAATGATTTAATATTTTTTATGAAAGATAAATTTAAATAAAAAAAGTAAAAGGCTACATTATATAAAAAACAACAAAATAAAAAAATTAACTACTTACTTAACGCAACAATAACAATCTTTATGTTTTTTTTTTTCGTTTTTGAAAATCATTTTTTATAAAGTTTAAAGTAAATTAAAATTTATTTAAAATAAAAACAAAACAAAAAAAAACAATACCTCTAGTTCTTAAGCTATTATTATAATATACATATTCAAAGCATAAAAATAATAATATTATGTATGTTATTTATATAAATATTTAATCTTTCTTTTTTTGTCAAAGTAGTAAGCGTAACTTAATATTGAAACGAAATCAAATTAATAATATTTTGTATGTAATTTATGTTTTAATTGGTTTCTTATTTTTATGATTTTATTTTAAAGCAGTAAAGAAAAAAACCCTAGAGTAATATGTTAACGAAATCAATGTTTACACATAGAATCTGTGGCTTATAGATCAGTTCTGTTATAGAACAAATTTAGATCAGTTTTAGATATGTTCGAGTTTAGCTCTAATTCTGTCCTTGATAATTTCAGTTCTTGATAGATCAGTTCTACTTTAGTTCTAGTTCAGTTCTAGTTCAGATCTAGTTCAGTTCTAGATCAGCTCTAGTTCGGTTCTAGTTCGGTTCTAGTTCAGTTCTAGTTCAGATCTAGTTCAGTTCTAGATCAGCTCTAGTTCGGTTCTAGTTCGTTTCTAGTTCAGTTCTAGTTCAGTTCTAGTTCAGTTCTAGTTCAGTTCTAGTTCAGTTCTAGTTCAGTTCTAGTTCAGTTCTAGTTCGGTTCTAGTTCAGTTCTAGTTCAGTTCTAGTTCAGTTCTAGTTCAGTTCTAGTTCAGTTCTAGTTCAGTTCTAGTTCGGTTCTAGTTCAGTTCTAGTTCAGTTCTAGTTCAGTTCTAGTTCAGTTCTAGTTCAGTTCTAGTTCAGTTCTAGTTCAGTTCTAGTTCAGTTCTAGTTCAGTTCTAGTTCAGTTCTAGTTCAGTTCTAGTTCAGTTCTAGTTCAGTTCTAGTTCAGTTCTAGTTCAGTTCTAGTTCAGTTCTAGTTCAGTTCTAGTTCAGTTCTAGTTCAGTTCTAGTTCGGTTCTAGTTCGATTCTAGTTCACTTCTTAGTTCAGTTCAAGTTCAGTTCTAGTTCAGTTCTAGTTCGGTTCTAGTTCAGTTCTAGTTCAATTCTAGTTCAGTTCTAGTTCAGTTCCACTTCAGTAGTTGTAGTTCTGTTCTAGTTCATATCTAGATTAGTTCTAGAATAGCTATAGTTCAGTTCCAGTTTAGTTTTAGAGCACTTCTAAATTAGTTCTAGATCAGTTTATTACCAGTAAAATCTGTTCTAGTTCAATTGAAATAATGTAAAAATGATTTATTATTAATATTTGAGGGTTTTAAAAAACTGCAAAATCAAAATTGTATAAATTTATAGACAAAATTGTTATTAAACAAAAATATTTTCAGTTAAACTAATAACAAAAAAAAAAAAACAATCATAGCTTCAAGTAAACAAAATTAATAATAATCATTAAAAAAAGAAAAGAAAAAACTTCCTTAAAATTTTTTTAATTGTAAATTAATGTTGTTTTAAAGTTTTGCTAATACTTATTATTTCTCTATAACAATAATTTAAAAACATATATTTTTTTTTTAATTTTATTTACATAATTTAAGAATCTCTCATTTACTTGCTTAAAGCTTTCATTTAAATAATAATACGTTTTAAACAGTTTTTTTTTAATTTCTTCATTTAAGCAGCTTTTATTTTAAATGTTGATTTTATATTTATTTGTTGTTAACATAAGAAATATAAACAAATATTAGTTTAAAAAAAATATGTTTTTCGTTTAAACGAGCATTAAATTAAGTTTTTATCATAAAATGACTTAAACAAACCAACAAAAAACACACATTTCATTTTGAAAAGCAACTTATTTTTATCCTAAACATCATCATTAATTACGAAAACCAAAATGATTTTTTTTTAAATAATAAATATCATCATCATTAATTGTTTTATTGTAATAAGTTTGTTTTTATTTTTAAAAATACATAATGTATGTAAAATCATTTCTCTAAAAATTTCATATCTCTAGCTAACTCCTTCCTAACTACTATTTACTCTTACTCTCCTAACAATCCTACCTATTTTACACTAAACTACTCACTCCTCTTATACTGCATATACGTTCATACAATTTAACTAATGTGTCCTAAAAAAAAAAAACATTAATAAATTATTTAAAAAAAAAAACTTGTTTAAATTATTAAAAAATTATATTATGCAAAAATTTTGTTTCAATAAATTTTCCCAGAAATTATGTTTAACAAAAAATTATCTAAATTAAAAAGTTGGCATAAAAATATTTAAACTTTTGGCTAAAATACAAAAATTATTAAACGAAAAGCTAAACAAAAATATTTCAAAGTTATATGTGTTTAAAATAATAACGAAATTTAACTAAAAATACTGAAATGTAAGAATTGTAACAAAATATATACACTGTGGACTAAACACACACACACTTACAAAAAAAAAAAATAATAATAAATAAACCAACACACATACATTATAAATACAATTTCAGTGTATAAACATATTTAAATTAATAAAATAAATAAAATTAAAACATAAATCAATAACTTTTTAAATAAATTATTTGAAATATAAAAACAAAACAAAATATTAGTGTAAACATAATTATAAACAAAATATTTATGTGTTTTATTTATATTAAATGGTTAAATGTGGGTACAACAGAGGGAAATGCTTTTGGCCATTTATGGTGGCATTGAAACTTAACTAGTACTTAGTTCTACTTCAGTTCAAGTTCAGTTCTATGTCAGTTCTAGATAAGTTCTAGTACATTTTTAGTTCGGTTGTAGTTCAGTTCTAGTTCAGTTTTAGTCCAGTTCTAGTTCAGATTACTCTATTTCAGTTCTACTTTAGTTGTAATTCAGTTCTAGATCAGTTTTGGTTCTAGTTCAGTTCTGGTTCAGTTCTATTTAACTTCTAGTTCAGTTCTAGTTCAGTTCTGGTTCAGATCTAGTTCAGTTCTGGTTTAATTCTATTGAAGTTCTAGTAAAGTTCTAGTTCAGATAGACTTCAGTTCTGCTTCAGTTCTAGTTCAATTCTAGTTCAGTTCTTCTGTTCTAGTTCAGATGTAAATCTATTTTAGTTCTAGTACAGCTCTAGTACAGTTCTACTTTAGTTCTAATTCAGTTCTAATTCAAGTTTCATCAAATTTATTTCAGTTCAACAGTTCTAGGATTTTTCACAAAAAATTAAGATTTTCAATAAAATTTTAGTTTTAACAAAAAAATTTTTAAAAGTACAGCCAATCGCCAAGAACCGTGAAATATTGTTAAATCAAAATTCTGTATTATGTACAAAAAATGCAATAAAAATACTCAAGCTTTTAAAATTCTGAAAATAACAAGCTCTTATCTCCATGGTGAAATGCCTCCATCATCTAGGCAACCTAACAAATATTTTACAAACGCCATGGACGAAAAATGTACAAACTACCACAATAAACATTCAGTTGTTTTTAAACTATCGAAAAGTAAACGTTTAATCTCTCCAAAAGCAATATGTCCAATAATCATTACAATGATGTCTGGCACTTGGCCCAGCAAGAACTTGAACTGTTGGCTCTATGTGATTATGAGCGACAAAATCAGGATATAGACACTACAGTGGCAGCATTTGCTGCTGCTAATGCTGATAGCGAATTAGCTTATGGAGACTCAAAGTCCTTGATGCAGGCAAGTACTTATGAATTTTATCTCAAGTACATTTGTTTGGCCAATCAATTGGAAGAGGTATACGACAAAATGATACAACCGCAAAAGAGGCAATTAATACGTAATCTTCTGGATGCCACTTTGGGTAGAGTTATTGAATTAAAACACGATTTGGTTAATATTGATGTTATGGAGTTCAGTTATAATGATGCTATAGTTGAACGTTTAAAATTAACGCCCATAGATACGGAACTAAGAATACCTAGATATTTCCTGCGGGAGAGGCGTAAGGAAATAGAACAACGTAATAAAACTATGCATGATATATTGGTGAAATTGGGTTGGGTGGAGGAGAATCCTATAGTAGAACAAATTAGTGAAATTGAGGCTATACGTTTGATACAAATGCATGAGAGGGCTCGTCAGGGTAGATTGAGAGCACATTTTATGAAGGAAATACGCATGCTGAAGGAAAAAGGTAAGACTGAGGAGAAAGATAAAGATCGTACAGATAGTGGTCTGATGGCTGCTATGAAAATACAAAAAATGTGGCGTGGTCATACGGCTAGACGAAAAACACGTAGACGTAAACTAGATGAAATGATATTGATAGGAATGGTGCCACCACCATCACAAGTTGTTAAGGCAAGGGCAGAAAAAGTGGAAAAATTGAATGAGGTAAAGTTTGAAATTTGTGTTTTTATCATTCACTGTTCTTTAATTGAAAAAGTTAAAAAAAGATCTTCGAAAGACGTTATGCCACCCAAGAAGCTTTTAAGGAAAAATTTGAATCCACTGTAGAGCTAGTACGTGAAGAAATAAAGGTAAAACATGGTGCCAGTATGACCGAAGATATTGCCGATGAATTGCGCGCTTGGATTAAAGATTGTTATGAGAAAACTGGCAAATTACCCGACTTCCCCTCGGAAGATCAAGGCGGTTCTTTACATATATTCAGTCGACCCGGCACCGAAAGTGAAATGAGTCGTTCTTCGGCACGCTCATCCAAAGAGTCACGTAAAACCAAAGATAAATCGAAATCACCAGCAAGAAGCGGCGATTTAAATGTAAATGAAAACCAACTTGAAGAAGATGGAGGTTTGCAACCGGCTCAATCCAATTGTTTGCCCGATATCAGAGTCGAAATTGAAAGGTAATAATCGTAGTAATAGAAAATAATACATATGTTTACAGATTTATTTTTTAAAGATTTAATGAAATATGGCGCGATAAGGACGAATCGGGAAATCTGCGACAAATGGCATATGAGGACATGATTTACAACGAAAAATACAATGAGATTGAAAGGGAGTTTCGTAAGATTGTAGATGATGTTATGCGTCAAGAATTGGAATTGTTACAGGTAATTTTTTTTAGCTAAAAAAGACAACAATAGTATTTAATGGTCATGATATTTATAAACTTAGAATGCCACCGGTAAAAAAGCCAAGAAAAGCAATAAGAAAGCTAGACGTTCTGGCAAGAAAGGCAAAAAGAAGAAGGAAAAGGACTTAACACCAGATCGTACCACTGAATCACTATACGAAGAGTTGGTGACCAATGGTATTATACGAAAATATCCCGAAATAAGAATGAGCCAATATTTGGGTGACAAAGCCATAACCGCCAGATCCGGCACAAGTCCTTCACCAGGCGATATAAGACAAATTTTAACCGAATATTGTATATTACCCTTGGGCTCAGAACAAATACACAATTCTTGTCCACTAATACGTTCTATATTATTAGCCGGTCCCAAAGGTTCGGGTAAAAAGGCTTTATTACATGCCATTTGTACAGAAGTTGGTGCGGTTTTATTCGATTTAACTCCTGCCAATATTGTGGGCAAATATCCGGGTAAATCGGGTTTGATTATGTTAATACATTTGGTTTTAAAAGTATCACGTTTACTACAACCATCCGTCATTTATATGGGTGATGCGGAAAGACCATTTATGAAAAAAGTACCCAAAACCGATCGTACAGATCCTAAACGTTTGAAAAAAGATTTGCCTAAGTTAATTAAGAATATTGCACCGGAGGATCGTGTTTTATTTATAGGAACTTCGAATTTACCCTGGGAAGCTGATCAGAAACTTTTGCAACAAACTTATAATCGTTTTATTTATATACCCAGACCGGACTATGGAGCATTGTCGCATGCTTGGAAGACATTATTGCAGTAAGTTTAATAGTTTGCTGTTTTTTTCTTAATGTTTCTTTTTACCCTCCTTTTGGGTAATTTTTTGTTTTTATTAAATAATACTTTGGTGATTTGTATTTCCATTATTTTAGTGAATATTCTGGTGGTTTATCTAATTTGGATTGCAGTGTTATGGCCAAAATTTCAGATGGTTATACCATAGGTGCAGTAAATGCTTGTTTAAAGGAAGTACTAACCTGTAAGCGAAAATTACAATTGCGCTCTCAACCCTTAACTCATGTAGAGCTTATTAATGCTTTATGGTAAAATAATTAAAATTAACTCAAGAAAAAAATAAAAAAAAAATATTTTCTAGTACCAGAGATCCAGTTTACCGAGAAGAGGAAGAAGCCTACGAATCCTGGTGGGCCAAGACACCTTTGGGTCGTAGACGTCAACGTTTATTAGAAATTGAAGAAGAAGCCCGTTTAGAGGAACAAGTACAGGCGGCAAAACAAACTAATGGCAAGAAAAAAGCATAAAGATTTCACAATTTTCTTTTTGTAATATGTATTATTTAAGTTTAAAAATAAATTCTTTAAAACCGCTTTTACAATAAATCTCATTAAATTTCAAATGCAAAGGTAAACGTTCCATTAAAAATGCCATTATTGTGGGCACTAGAGATTCAACCAAACTTACACAATCTCCGGTACACCATAAAATACTAATGTGAAACGAGGGGTCCTTGAAAAAAATTAATGATTTTTGTTAAAAATTTACAAAGCAAATATTTTTAGTTTTCCATTTACCTCATAAAATGTGGCCAATTTGAAATCCTTCATTACCTTGTCCACTTTTTGTAAAATATTTAACATTTTATCGAAATACAAATTGTCTACTTTTAAGGCCAAAAAAGTACGCGTGCGTTCGGCATTTGTGTAGACTTTTAAATTGTCAAGGGATACAGTAAAGCTAAAATTTTAATTTTTCTTTAGGGTCATAATTTTTCTATGGATAACTTAAAATTTTACCTTTCTAAAGTTTGTAAGGCGTTTTGTAGCGTACTAACGAATGATTCTATTAAATGATATTGCAAAACTACAGTCTTTGTTAGACTAATATGCATTTCTGAAGAAGCCTTAAAATGAAGTTTTTCTTCTAAGTGGTCAAGGCAAATGTCTTGTATATCTTCAAGAAGATTATTGTCTACAGGTAAGTAAACACAGGTGGCCCAATTACCACGTTCATGTTTAAAACTTCTTATGCGTCCATCATGTTTTGAAGGATCATCGGTGACGTCGTCATCATTGGATTTTAGTTTACGTTTTCCCAATAATGTTGTGGCTTGAGGTAATAATTTTCTGAGTGGAGATAATTGAAATTTAAAAAACAGATAAATTCGGTAACCTAATATCTCCTAAACTAAAATACTTTAATACTAGCACTTTTTCGAAATTTGTAAAGTTTTTTACATTTTCTTTCATCAAATGGCACATTTGAATTTTTATTTTTGGATCTAAAAACATTAAATTAAACAATAAATCTGAAAGAAATTGTTCGTTTTTAACTTCGATTAGAGTAGCAAAGCTCCCGAGCCCTGGTTTGCTATAATTATTATATTGAATCACAAACCCTGCTTTTTTCCAAAAATAAACTTCGAACCCTGTGTAACTCCTACCTGTTTGCTACTGGCAATTTATTTGCTTCTGATTTTGTTAATTCATTTGATTCTTCACTTTCTAGTTGATTTTCATCTTCAGACTCAGAAGAACTACTATAATTTACTAAAAACATTATTAAAACACTATTTTACACAGATTTATTTAATTATTTTTATTAGCCGCCTGACAAACAACACCTACCAGATCCCTGCGCCGACAAATATTAACGACGGCGGCGACTGACAATAAATATGTCGGCGACGACTTAAAATCGACTGTAAGCCGGCTAAGTTTTCAACTACGTTTAGTTTTTAAATTTTTAACGATTTTGAATAAAAACGGAATCGAGAGATCAGAAAGTGGGATTTTGGAAGCAAATATATCGTTTATAACAACAAAACAGAGCAAGCACAAAAGTTGTGTGAGAAATTATGCAGGGATGGATAAAAAAATTCTTAAAAATTAAAAACAAATCCTTTCTCCAAGTTTTACGAGGATCGGCCTATATCCTCCATATAAAACATCTTGCAGAAAATCTGTTTCTAAAAAATTTTGCATTAAGAAAATGATCAATAACGTAAAAACAAAGATATTTTATTTATTCAGCCAATTTGGGCAAAATAATATTACATAGTCCTGTCTGTTCTCTAAACCGAATCCGAGTAAATTTCTCGTTTAAAAACGAATTCGCATAATTTTTCACGTTTTAAAACCGAGTACACAAATCTAGTGGAAAGTAAATCGAATGTAATTTTATTCTAATAAATTAACTAATTATTTTTCTGCCTTTTTTAATACAATTATAACTAAATATAAATGCTATGGGCATTTTAGAAATTACTCGCATACAGATTTTTATACAATCAGGAAGCTGCGTGCCCAATTTTAGGTTCAATATTATAGAAAATTCGAAAAGTATTAGTAAAATAACAAAAAAGTACCAGAAAGTATCCTTTTAATTTTAAAGAAAACTCAAAAAAGTACCTGTGTAGAACGAAAAAGTATCGAAAGATCTCTTTATTATTAATTTCATGTTTCGATTTCAATATCATAGAAAACTCAAAAAGTACCAGTTGGAGAATGAAAAAGTACCAAAAAATGACACTTGGTACCGGGGTTCCAAATAACACCCCATTAGCATATTTAGTGTTTTTAAATCTAAAAATTTTAGCTAAATTGGATCATTGTGTTTGAATTAGGGATGCCAAACGGGACTGGCTTTTACAAATCCCGGGATTCGGGATTTTGAAAATTGCAATCCCGGGATCCCGGGATATTTCGGGATCCCGGGATTTTTCGGTATTTCGGGATTTCGGGATTACATGAATTTAATTATTTTATATATGAAAATCTTTAAATCATCATATTTGTAAAGAAAATTGTTTAATTTTGTGGAAATTTAACAGACAGAAGATATATTTAAATTAAAACAATCCAATTAATTCCAATTTTTAAATAAAAACTTTCAGAATTGCATAATTTCTGAAACTTTTTAAATACATACTTACTTCCTAAATAAAAATAAATATCAAGTTCCGAAATTAGACATAAGCTCTTTTTAAAACCTCATACTGTTCCATGTGAACTAATAATTATAACAGATACCAATTCAATTATTCGAATATCAATTTAGAACCTATTCTTTGAAAAATATTTGGAATTTTACTCAAAATACATATTAGTTTTGGAACATATTATTATATTCGTAGTATTAATTTAAAATTTTAGGTGCATTCAGAACAAGGTAATTTACCTTTACCGGTATCATTCAGATTTGTAGAAAGTTAGAAATGTAAAATCCTCTAGTATTGAAAAATAAAGTTTGTATTCGACTGTGCCGAAATTAAATACCCACCATCAAAATATTGTAATGTATTGATATTAATATCAGCATCAATGTGATTTTCAGAGGAGGTCCAATTAGGTTTTTTTGTGTCAATTTTGGTCCAAATTTGCAGCCCAAATAGAATGAGTCTTCTAACTCGTGTTTTCAGCCTACAGACACAGAATGTGTATACTTTTTGGGTCGGTCTACGACCAACATTGCAATGTGCTAACAAGTAAAAAGTTATAGTTGGGCGAAGCCTACCATATAATACCCTACACCAGTTATAAAAATAAAATGTGATTTATTGTTCATAATAAAGCATTTAAGTTGAATTGTACCTTGCCTCAGATATAATTAAGGTATTTTTTGTTGAATAAAATTGTGTACATTTAAGTCATATTTCGAAGGGGGCTTTGCATAGGGGCTAGGGTCAAATGAGGCCGCATCATCAAAAAATACATCAGGGTCATGAAGGCTAGTATAGAACTTGGTTTTGCAGCTTTTTGTCGAGTTACGAGTATATTGAACATAATAACCCTATTTGGGGGGTTCAGTTGTATGGGGGCAAGGTCAAATATTGGACCGATGTTATCCATTTTCAATAGGATCCGTCTCTAGTACAATAGAAGATCATGCAAAATTTCATTGAATTATCTTCAAAATTGCTGTAGTTTGATTACAAGGTTTACACGGACGGACGGACAGACGGACGGACATAGCTAAATCGACTCAGAAAATGATTCTGAGCCGATTGGTATACTTTAAGGTATAGGACCAATATTATTGTGTGTAACAAACCTCAGCACAAACCCAATATACCCTCCCCACTAAAGTGGTGTAAGGTATAAAAACGAAGTGAATAAATAAATTTATATGTGCTATGTGTATGGACTCATACCACTTTAAAAAATAAAAGGTTCAAATATGTATAAAATTAGCTCTGCGGAATTTTGTTTTGCATGAGTCAAAAATAAAATAAGATCGTAATTTTCAAATTAATGAAAATTATGGCTCAAAAAAAGAAAATAAAAACAGTTTTTTGAAACAAATCCCAATCCCGAAAAATCCCGGGATTTTTGGGATCGGGATTTCGGGATTGGCATCCCTAGTTTGAATAAAATCAAATTTCCCATTTTTACCCCTTTTGGTAATTTTTTTTCTCCCCATTAACGAAACAAAAATTCTATTCCAAAAAGTTGCAACATCGTAGTGGGAGCCCGTTATTATGTATTCATATGTATGTATAAGTTAAGAAACCAAAAACAATGTTTTATGGAAAAAGTACCAGAAATAGGTACAATTTTCACCCCTTAAACGTCCAAATATCCAAAAAGTACTAAATTCATATTTTTATTTTTTCGTCAAGTTATGAAGGAGTCAAAAATATTGTTTACTTACTTACATTTTTTAATCTTTTAGAGCTCACAAACAGGCCAAATCAATATTTTTAGTATTTAAACTTAAATACTTTTTCAATAAACAATTATTTTATTTTCAATAACAAAATTATATATATTTTATAACTTTTTAAAAAAAATTCAAACAAAAATGACAGAAGATCAAATAAAGAATTTGCAAAAACTGGCGCGAAAACATGCAACTGCGGGCAAAAAATTGCAGATTTTTCCTTCAAACAGATTTTGTTTGATGTCCCAAAAAATGGGACAAAATGTCGCTATTGCTGTTTTATAAGCATTGAAAGGTCCAACTTGAATTTGATGTTCCAATACTGCAGCTGAGTAACATTCCATTCCTGCGGATAACAAATCAATTGGCGATATAAAGCCTCATCGAACATTTTTAAATTTAAGTATGGCTCCTGAATTTCTTCCAACTTTTCATCTTGCTCTGCAATGACACAGTAAGAAACTCACATTGGCTCCAAGACTTCTTGCCGAGCTGGTTGGTGGTAAGCTTATATTACCCGGTGAAGTAAGCTTGTTATCCGAAGCCTGGCGATCCCATAGGCAATGGCATCTTGGACATTGATAGCTAATTAAAAAACAAAAACTCAATAAACCAAAATAAACTATTGCCACAACTTACGTGTTGGTGTTTTCTGGTCCTTGGATGTTTATAACCGCTGTTAAGAGTTCTTGCGGAGCTAGGCATACAATTTATTTTCCTTTTTTTATTGCAATTGGAATATTATTGCAACAACAGCAATGCTTCACAACACTTCGATAAACGATCAATTAGAAGATGTGTATGTATGTGTCTGCAGTTTATCCCGCCACTGTCCGGTATGATGACTTTTCGCGCCAAGAAAGTCTTCATACCAAGTCGTTATACAGTCCTGTGTATTTCTTATGTGTTTGATAACCTTAGAATTTCTATACGTCTTCATACCTTCATACACTTCATACAAAAATACAACCCTGTACCCCGTTTCTGTAACTTTTAGTGAGAAGTTCTCACATCGAGAAGTGTGAAACAAAAAATTCCATCGTTTCTCGATTTGTGAGTAAAAAGTGTTTCTGTAACTTAAAGTGAGAAGAGGCTACACGAATTACGTTTTTATTGGAAATTTCCAATAAAACAGCTGTCAAAAATAGAAAAATTAAAAGAAGAAAACCATTCGTAATTCAGCTCTGGGTGGAGGAAGATCGTCGTGCGTCGTTGCCATTATCGTTTAAGGGTGATCAGGCCGTCCTTTTTGCTCTGCCTTCGAGAGTTTTGCGTCTCAACAGCATTGGCCAATGTGTGACGTCAGATAACTGTACTGAGTTACAGTTTTTCTTGAGGTGCATATTTGGCCATGTGCATTCGTTTTGACTTAACCTAAGTTTTTAATTGGAACATATGAGCTAGTTTTTTCTAGCTAGAATTGGTGATGGCGTTGTATAATTTTAATTACTGGCCAAATAAATCTTAGTTTCGAATACTAAGTAACTTAAAGAACAAACAAACAAACAAACAAAAGAAGAAAACGAACAAATTTATAAACGAAGAATAAATAAACAAAAAATATAGAAATTAAATGAAAATTGTTCGAAAAATTATCCCACTAAATTCGCCCTTGCCAAATTCCAAATTTACGCCCACGTACTTTTTTAGCATTTGCTTCTGTACATACGAAATTCCTCGTATTTTCTAAAAATTAGTGAACAATATTTATTTTAATTTTAATTAATTATAAATATAACATTACTTTTTCATTATTTCATAGAATTCATGTTTAAATTAATTTTTTTTAATTAAAATTTTACTTTCCGCACCGTTTTAAAATGTGAGTTTTTTTGACAGTTCATGTGAGAAACTTCTCACAAAATTTTCTTACAGAAACACTTTTACTCACAAATTTCCAATAACTTACTTCAAAAAACATAAATGACAGATAGTTCTCACAAAATTTTCTTACAGAAACACTTGCA